AAAAAGTAAATTATAAACAAATTTATAGCAATTTTTTAGGCAAATTTGCCTGGAATTGTCTACAGTTTAAGGGATAAATATAATATTTCTTTTTTAAAATAAAAATATTATTAATATTTTTAATATTACTTTAAATTTATTAAAAAAAATTTGCTATTTTTAGAAAAAAATGAATTAAACAAAAAAAAAAAAAAAATAGCAAAAAAAAAACAATAAAAATATTAACCAAACTACTAAATTTTATTGTCACTAAAAAATATATATATCTTAGTATAATTAATAGATATTATTAATTAGAAAGTTTAAACAGATATTTTTCAAGTAAATTATAAATATAATAGCTAGTATAGAACCTTTAAATAGCCTACTTAAATTAGACAATCTAAAATTGTACATGTGGCTAGTTGTCTCTTGTTGTAATACCATTGTACTGTACGTGTGTTCATGTAAGCATTAATAAAGCTTCAGTTCGAGGAGGGCCTTAATAATTTTTTAAAAAAAGATTATATATTATATATTGTAATATATAGATACAGTATATATATATTAGTTTAGTAAATCTGTCATAAACGACCAAATTTTTATATTTTTCAAAGCTACTACGTATTATTTAAATTAATCATGAACGTAAATAATTAAAAGTTTGCACTGTATGTTTTACCTTTTAAAATAAAATTTATATTCGAGAGACACTGTGGCTGTAAACTTCATTTTTTTATAATCTTTGTATTAATTTTAATGTTATTTATTATATAATAAAAAAATAAAATATAAAGGCATATAACGATAATAAGTCATAACTGAGGATTAAAGCCGTAATTTATTTATAACCTGTAATAATCATCTAAAAACTATTGGGATGATAAGCCACTTTAATTCAGGTATTCGGCCAAACTTGTAATCAGAAGCGCTCCATATAAAATAATAGAAATAAAAATTAATAACCATAATTCAGCATTTCTGATTATACATATAGAAATGAGAGTAGTAAATAATATGAATGATGTCAAGAATAAAAAAAAAAAAAAATTAATATAAAAAAATTACTTCATTTTCAGGAGGCAAAATACATAATGGACTTCGGAACAAATGTATTTGTCCTAGTATTGACAAAAAGCAAATTTTCGGTTTAAAAATTTGTTACACAAAAATGAAAAAAGGCATGAACAAACCATAACCATTATGGGAATGTTTAGCCTCAAAGAATAGGAATCAAATTAACAAAAAGTTTCTTTATTAAAAACATATTTGAACGAGCATATAAACACTTCATGCAAAAGATCGAACAAGAATTCTTTTTATTCTACTATCTTGACATCCTTCAAGGTTGTTTTCATAATTATTATTTGTTAAAAACTGATAATTATATCCAACATCATAATTGAGTGAACTCCACTTTGATTTCTGAACATGCTCAGGAATATCAGCAATTTGTCCAGTCAATGCCTGTAATGTGGATGATAAAGTAGATGTAAATGACATCTGTTTCAACATATTAGGCTGTTGTTCGTGTGGTGATCCTGGCGCACTATCTGTTGGAGTGATAGCAGGAGTGATTGGATATGATCCTTCACATTCCATGGTCATTGGATCTAGCAATTTTAAGGTTTCACGAAATCTGTCAACCTTTCTTCTATTTTTTGCTATTCTGAATGCTTCTGGATTCGACATGTCAGGTCCTGAAATAGCTTGGATATTCGTTAGTAAAAGACTACTCCAACGCTTAAAATTGTTTTCAGCTATGAAAAGGTTATAATCAATAAGCTTGAGAAAACAGATTTCGTTGGTATTAATTTCTTTAACGGAAAGTCCAGACATTTTAGACCAAGCACGGTTCGAAAAGTTACGATCTTGAAGGTATTTTGAAGCAACAATCAAAGCAGCTAAAAACATGCGCCGACCACATGTAGCCGGATCATTATTTTGATTGGAATTTGGAATCACATTTGGAGGATATTCGGAAGTTGGAGTTGGTAAGTATTCAGTACACCGATATAATTTAGCAATTTCAGATTTTATTCTGATTAAATAAAATAAAGCAGTCTGAAGTGTTGAATAAGAGGTACGTGAACGTCTCAAAGTTTCTTGAATGAATACACGTAGAGTAATAATTTTTGCGCTTGGACTAACAGAAAAATTTGCCCAAATTACTTCCACGATAAGACAAGCGGTATCTAACATTTTTTTTTGAATATTTTAATGAGACATATGGAGAAATTTTTTGATTTTAGCAATATTCTATAACTCACCAACTAAATTTTCAACAAATGCGGCCTTTCGATGTTTTTCACTTATCAAAGATGGAATTATATTGAGAATAGAAAATTCTTGATTATCGTTTTCTGGAGCATCAGGGTGATCATTAACCGTTAAATTTCGAACGGTATTGTTGCTTACGTTGACAGGAATCATACGAAAATTCTTAAAATATTGATAATGATTATTTACCATGCTTGAGTGGTCACACATGGTATTAGATTCATTGTTAACGTTTCTTGAAAAGTAATCATTGTTATTGGTCATTGTTTGTTGGGGAGTCGAATGAAATCTAGTGGGACTATATACAGAAGAGATTGAAACTGCGGAATTTTGAAATTGATGCAATGCATTATCTGAGATTCCATATCGAGTAGGACCGGAGCATAGCTCCGGCGGCGAACAATAACAAGTTTTATTTTGTAAAACTTTTAAGGATATGCATGAGCCCTCACAAAGCTCTTGACCAAAGCAGGACAGTGGGCGATGAGTGGGAAGCGAGGCCACAGATTTTCGAGATAATAATTTTTCTTGTGGCTTTAGTAAATGATTTACATTAGAATTATCTTCGATATATTGAATAGGTGGTAGTTGGGAGTTGAAATAGTCCTCATTTAATTTTCTACGTTTTTGAACAAATTGAAAATAATTATTATGACTTTCTAAATGACGTTTTGTTGTTTGTTGTGGGGTAAAAGCCATATAGTCTTCGTTCTCGCTTGTAAAATTTACCACTCTTAGATTACTCATATTTTTGTAATCACCTTGTCGAAAACAATCAAGAATTTATTTTAAAATTTTAATATAAAGGGAACATTTCAATATTAAAGATTATTCTTGAGAAAAAATTAAGTGAAAATTTGTGAAAAAATTAGATATACGCAGTAAATTAAATAATAATTAAGAATATTTTGAAAAATGCCAAAATTAAACCGCAGCTTTTTTTTTTTTGTATATATATCGATATATCTGATACGTTTTTGTATATGCTTTTAGTAGACTTTTAAATTCCGATAAATTTGAAATGCGAGTTCACCAGCGGAGTTATGGAGTTACTGAGCTACTATTAGCGTCATTTTGATGTAGTGGGAAATTTCAAAGAGTGTTCACTGTATTTATAATAAAACATTAGAAGTAGCACAGTAACCTGTGGCTGGCAAGATTATCGCTACATTCTACGTATGTACGCGGAATGCGCATCACTCCGTAATGTATGTAAAGTGACTATCTTTTTTACACATCTCAGCATCTTGTGCTTCCATCCCATGGTGTAATTTATAAATTGTACATATTGTTACCACGTTTTTTCCACTAATACATATAAATGATTGAGTCACTCAAAAATATCAATGAAAGAAGTAAATCTATTCTTAATCTAGCTTGTTATAGAAATTCGGCAATTTTCACGTGACACAAAAGAAATATTATGAATAAAGCCGCAGTTATTACTAATTTTGGGTTGCCCCGAACTTCTGCGCCTTATCGTAATATTTATTGTAACACAAACACCGAGGTGAAATGTTAAAATCACGTGGATGAAATTACGTAATGACTTATACTATTGGTCCATAATCTTGCATAGTACTATTGTACTGTACAATTTGTCTTGATTAGATTGATGCATCTTTTTAATCGAGGCGTTTACGTAGTATAATGAAATATGTGCAGCACGTATGTTATAAAGCATGCTCTCAAATGATTGAGCATAGCCGTGCTTAATTAATATATATGGAAACATAGAATGTTACTACGTACACTCACGCACTATATATTAAAAAAATGTAAAGTAAAAACTAATTATAAATTTCCATCTGTTATGTATAATGAGGAATTTTATCGATTCTGGTCTCAATTTTACCACATGAACTTTTGAACTACTGTAGATCCTAGCACTAAATTCCAAATATGTGCGTGCTTTTTAACAAATTAAATTTATTTTTATGTCTCATAATTTTAATGCTAATTGGCATAGCCACAATTCTTTGATACAAATTAAAATACTACGTATGAAAAAAGCATTTGATGAATTAGGTATATGTAAATTTTTGATTAGAATCAAAGATTAATCAAAAAAATATAAAAAAAATCATTGAATCTGATCGATATTTTGTGCTATACCTGATTTACAAAAATCTTGTATCTCAATTATTATTATTAATACATATTTTAAAAATGGTTTGTATGATTGCTATTGTTTTGTCAAATTTAATTGCTTTGTTTAGTAAAGTGATTATTTGACAACTTTACCAAAATTTATTGAACCTATTGTGAAATCTGTCTATGAACCTAAGTTTAAAATAATAGTCATTAAATACTATTCTACGCAGTATTAGAAATCTAAAAAATTTTTACTCCGTAATAAATTTTCTTTTTTTTTTTTGTTATTAACTATAAAGGAAAGGACTAAAAATATTTATAATCAAAATAGAAATTTTTATATTCTCAAACAAAGAATTCTTAGTCCTTTAAAATATCTTATACTCTTGTAAAATATAGAAAACTCTAGATTTCTAATACTGGTTCAATTTATCATTCATTATTGCTATTTCAATATAATTTTTATGTAATTTTATTTGTCTACACGAATTTTGATTAATCAACAATATACAAGTTCATGTATTGTATTGTATAACTTTAATAAAATTAATAAGCCGTACAAAACTAATTAATCGGTTCCCATGACATGCTAATTTTAAAAATGAACCACCAACCTGGATTTAATTTTTAGCCAAAAAAATTCCATAATTTTCGAAAAAAAACTGGGCACAAAATATTCATTTAGGGAGGATTTGCATGTAATTTGCATGTAATTTGCATGTGGGCGAAGATGCCAGAAAGCCATGCATATAGTCTATAAAATTGATTCATCTCGAGTGTTATCGAAACTTTTAAATTATAATTGAACAATAGACACGTGCATTCATTGCAATTAAGGAGTATAGAGATACAATATCTACTCGAGATTAAGCTTATGGTGTACATTTAGGGAGGGTATATACTATACGTACGTACTTGGCAGTTAAGGAGAATGGCACTTAGGAAAGTTAGAATGTATGCTTTTTTTTTTTTATTTTAGAAACCTAAAAAAAAAAAACAAAAACAAACCAGAAGTAGACCAGAGATTTTATAATGGATAAATTGTTTTTTTTTTTTTTTTTTTTTTTAAAAAAAAAAAAGTCTGTCCTGGTCGGGTTATGAGAACCAATCCATTAACTTTGTATGGCCTAATTAAATAGCTTAAATATTATTATAGTTTCATATACTAAATTTGTACAAATTGCCAATTGACGCTAATTCAGGAAAGGACGTACACGATCAGCTTGTAATATTCGATATTGATTCGTCTCATATGCCTGTTAACCGTTTACATCTTTTATTGAATTTAATTAGCAGTTTATACGACTTGGTAAAAAAGAAAGAAAAAAAAAGGAATTGTAATTGATATTTTATTTCACGCTCTTATTATTAACTACAAATTCTCACGAATAGATCTGAGATGAGACTTGTATATTTGTAATCTTACCAAATTACACAGCAATTAAATATGGAGATTGTCGATTCTTTATTTATCATTTAGGTTTGGTTTTGAATTGTATTCGGTATTTTTGTTGCCTTAAGGTAGATTTAGAATCAAATTTTTTTTTTTATTTTCTTTCGTTGATCTTTTTTTCGGATCTCCTTAGTTAGAAAAACTCACATATGTCTTTAAAACCAAATTTAAACCTAATAATAATTGGAACTCTAAAAATAGGCGTACAAGATCCTTTCGATAGTAGACCTACGTACCATGAATTAGCGAACCACAGATCTTTAAATAACTAGACTGCCTATTATAAATGCGAATCGTGTATGCGGTATGCATTTTAAATTTTGATATAACCTCTCAGCTATATACTATATCTGGTTTACTGCAAGTTTTAAAATTGATGGACGTGATAGACCCGAGTCTTGTTTACTATAATTCTGTAATTAAAAATATAAACCTTTTTTATTATTAATCTAATTTTTTAACACGTACAGTACATACCTTGGAATTTTAAAAGTTTAGGACGTTCAAAATTTTCTACCAACAATTTTAATTCACATGAAAAAAAGATTAATTTCTCGCTGATATTCACAGTGGTATAAAGCTATTACACTTTTAAGATTTTATTTGGTTTCGATAATGAAAAGTGATAGCCATTGAAGTCAATGAGGTCAATGAGGTCAGTGAGGCCGAAGTGAGACGATGTATTCACGTGGACAATTTCTTTGACGAAGATCTCTCGAGACAATTAGTGACAACACTAAAAGATCGGTTCAGTCGCTATATTTTATTCACGAATTTGCTTGTGACATATTAATTTTTTAAGGTGCTTTCGCAAAATTAAAAAGAAATTTCACGCGTCAGTTTTGAAATTGGAAATATTCCGAATAATAATAATTTTCAATTTCTTGCAACAACAGAATAAATCTAGGAATACTATTTTTTTTAATTTCGTATTTACGTTGATAATATCTATTATTGACTATCACATAATAATCATCAAAGTTAGCATGAAAATGCTGCAATATAAGAGGATAAAAAAGGATTTTTGAAAAATATGATACATTATTTTGTTCAAGAACAAAGACAAAGAAGCAAATTAAAAGATGAATGAAGAAGAAGCATTACAATTCAGTAAAGAATCCAATATATGGAAAGACATGAACAATGAATATATATTCAATTGCCGAATTATTCTTCATCATCGTGTTGCGCGCCAGATGTATCAGCTTTGTCACCTGTTACAATTAATAAAAAAAAAAAAAAACAGCAAACATTAACATTATACAGCAAACGTTAACATTATACATCAAACATCTTTTCAAAAATAAATCAATATTTACCCTTATCCTTTTTTGCGCCTGACTTTTTGGGTAACAAATCTTGATGAATGTTAGGAAGCACGCCACCTTGAGCAATTGTCACATGACCGAGTAATTTGTTAAGTTCTTCATCATTACGAATGGCCAATTGCAAATGACGAGGAATGATTCGATGTTTTTTGTTATCACGAGCAGCGTTTCCTGCCAATTCCAAGATTTCTGCAACCAGATATTCAAGTACAGCAGCCATGTAAACAGGTGCACCACTACCTATACGTTGCGCGAAATTACCATTGCGAAGATGACGATGGAGGCGTCCAACAGGAAACTGTACGCCCGCCTATTAAAAGCGTCAATAAAATAGTTGATATTATAATTAATAATGGATCAATCAAATAAATAAATTAAAGATCGATATTTGAAAAAGTTTATGATAAAAGTCATCAAGACAACTTAGCCACAAATGATATATACTTTAGCAGATCTTGAAATAGATTTCGTTCCCGCGCTTTTCCCCATGCCTTTACCTTGACCTTGACTTTGGGTTTGACCTTGAATTTGATTTGTTCCGGACATTTTATGAAAATATTCAAGAAAAATGAAAAAAAGTATGGAATCTGATATGCACGAAAAAAAATCTAAAAAAGAAGAAAGAAAATTATGATTATATTTATATAGAAAAATGTAGCCATAACAATATGTTACATATTCTAACTCCGCAGTCAGACGATAGAACTTAAGAGATGAGTTTTATGCTACACATAAATCACGCTATTTTTATCTCTGTTATGTCTATGATCAGATTCATCCTTCCTATTAATTTTTTAATCAAATAGATTGATTATTTTATGATTTAACAATCTATTCGATTAAATGGTAATGATATTGGAATTTGATGTTCATGAATCTCTTCATTTCAAAGCGACGGATGTTTCGATGTCGTAAGAATGTCGATATTTTTTATGCCGCATTAATAGCTTATCCATTACATCGTCCGTTATCATAGGATAGAGATTCAAATATACTGCTGTATAATCTGACAGTTCAATCACGGATCAATCATAAATACTTGTAAATTTGTATAAGCTATGCTCCGCATTAATATAGTTCAAAGATCAAACATTTTGATGAGTCTATTCACTCCAAGTTAAACCATTGGCTTTAATTCAGCTGATTATCTTGAAATAAATAATTAATACATTTTATTAAATATAAAATATCAAAATACAATTATCGTATTTGTGAATCACGTGAATATATACTGGTCTCGTTTTTTTAAATATATAAAGCTATTTCTCAAAAAAAAAAAAAAAAAAAGGTATGTTGAGATTATATTTATACGAAGCACTTTTTACTAGAACGCGGAATCTCTGTTTTATAGTCAATACTTATAAAAATCTTACATAGAAGCAATATATCTCAGAATGATTTATATCGAACCAGAAATTTAGGATTTCGCGTTACAAGTGATTTTTAAAGAAAATTGCAAATTTTTAATAATAATGCAAGATTTCAATTCTCTATATTGGGGTTTCTGAATTAAATTATTTCGAAAATAAGTGTGTTTAAAAAATCATATTTTTTCTGTTTTAAAATTCCGAATCAGAAACCTCTAATACAAAAATTAAAAGCAAAAATTAAATTAAATTTAGATTAGTCGAGTATAGTTTTATTAATAAATAGAAATTGTTAAAATATTTTTTATTTACTGTTAACAAAACCTTTTATGTTTATTTTTTCTATAATCGCTGCCACTTTAATATTTTTATCATTAATAATTTTATTATTATCCTTCAGTCTGCTCTGCATCAATCAATAATTTAGTTATTTTTTATTTACCGATCACAAGAGCGTTATATGCAGATCGTCGTATACAGGAGGATAATAGGCGTGTAAGTGAACAATAACTGCATTATTTGTCAAAATTTTTGACGGATAGATTTTCAGTTATTGGCCGTGTAGCGGCTAATAACTGATTATCCGTCAAAAATTTCGACAAATAAGATATTGGGCGTACGATGAAAAATAACAAGGAATTTTTTTTCATCGGAATTAATGTCACTCCCATGTGCTGCGTAGCAGCACATGAGTGACATTAACTCCGATGAGAAAAATTTCTTGTTATTTTCGTATGTCCAATATTGATGTTATTGTTCATATTATATTAGCATGTGAAATTTTTTAACGCGACAGTTTGCATAAATGATGATGTCATTTTATGATAATAATATCGAGGCAAAAAATTTTTACATGATCATATCACAGGAACAATAACAAGTACTTATTGTTCGCTACACGCCTAATAACTATGTATTATTTATGCCTCTATTGCTTATATATAGTTACTATTACAATTTTTATTAGCCAACTATATCGTATAACATCTATATTATTATAATATATACAGTTTTTTATATAAGTTTACTTTTACTTAGAATTTAGAACTAGTTTTATTTTTCTTATATTAAAACCGAGTTTTAATTAATTTAAGTACAGTACGTATACTAGTTTCGAACTCTACTTTACTTACTAACTTGCATATAACATTCTTACTTATTACTATTAATACTATTTTATTTAAATTGTACGTATATATATACTGTATACGTATACTGTATATGCACATAATAAAAAAAAATTTTAATTATAGTATATTATTTAAAGATACTGTAAACTTATTCTAATTTTAAAAATAAAGTTATGTAAATTTCAGTAATAGTAAATACAAAAGTATTAATATTTAGATATGACAATAACAAAACAATTATAAGTTTTTAATATAAATTTTTACATAATTAAATATCTTAGACTATATAAAGTTATTTTTTTTAAAAGAAAAGTGACCCGGGTACCTGATTTTTAATTTTATTTAAAAATTACGCAAAATTTTTTGGTTGGTTTTTAAAGGTAAACCATTCGAATAGTAAATATAAGTGATCTAAATTTTTTTTTTTTAAGGTTGATCCGGCCGAGTTATAAGAATTAAAAAATTAACTTTGCTTAGCTTTATAGTATTTGAATTTTTTATAAAAAAAAATCATAGTTAAAGTTTGGAAGGGTAAAATTGCGAGAGAAGTCTAGCATTTTAAGTTATTATAGAAATTATAGAATATGGCTACATGCAGTCATGGCTACAAATAAATTAATTTGTTTATAATATATATTTACAAAAAATTTGAATTAGTTTAATAAGATAATTGTTAAGAAATTAATTTTTAAATTTTAAATAAATTATAAAAAAAATTATTTATTAAACTATAGTACTAAAATTTTACAAATTTTAACTTTATTTAACTTTTGTTATAGTAATTAAAAAAAATATATATAAATTTTTTCTCTAATCTATTGTTATATATAGTATTGTTTCTATATTTTGGTTCGGTTTGATCAGGTTCGAGTTCAAGTTCAATGAACCTGAACTTGAACTTTAAATTTTGCAGATCAGTGAACTTGAACCTGAACCAAACTTAAAATTTATGAATCTGAACTAAACTTGAACATAAACATTGGTTTAAGTTCAAGTTCAGTTCGAAGTTCATGAACATTGTTCAGGTTCAATGCAATAATAAGATTATACTTTTTTTAATATAATCTTATATAATCTTATATCTAATATAGGATCTTTGCTATTAAAATAACCTTCGAGGCTATGTTAATTTTGTAATAAAAATTAAATTGGCTAGCCATCTAGTAATTCAATTTGAATAAACCTTTTTTTTTATTTTGTAAATCTTAATAGAATTTACAAAATAAAAATAAGTTTATTCAAATTGGATAACTAGATAGCTGACAAATTTAATTTTTATTCACAAAATCAATATAGTCTTGGAGGATCATTTTAATAGCAAAGATCCCATATAACAAAGTAATTGGCCAATCAAATTTTAGTTTGTAAATATAAAAAATTATAAATTTATATTAACTTTAGCTATAATTTTTTTTAGTAGATTTTTATTTTAAAATGTTTGAAAAAAAATACTTTTAATCAGAACTATATTTAAAAAAATATCATTTTTTTTGTAATTTTATAACCAGAATTGCTTTCAATATTCTAATCAAATAAAAAACAACAAATAATAAGTAAATCTGGGATATAATATTAGTTAGTACTGTATTACTATATTTTATTATATTATGCTTAATTTTTTATTATTTAAATATTTTTAATAATACTGTATACTGTATATACATTTTTATATAATTTTTTACTAATAATTTAAACAATTACATTTGATTCTTGTTAATATCAACCTTTTTATTAATAAAAAAAATTGAGTTTAGGCTATACGTATAAATAATCATCTCTTTGTTATAAACCCTCGCGGAAATTAACATAATTATCTAATTTAAATAGATTGTGTAAAGCGTACTATAATTTATAATTATTTCTAATCTAATACCACTTTTGTAAATTTAACCTATTTTAGTATCTGCTTTTTTATACGTAGCTTTACAAATATATTATATTTTTTAGTTTTGTACGTATAATTTTTAATTTAATTAGACGAAATATACTTAAAATTTTTGAGATATAAGCACCCTGGTGATGATCACCACTGTTATAGTTAGTAATACTCTAATTAGACAAGCAATATTATGTTGTTTTTTTTTTAGCAGTTATAATATAAATTACCATCTAAATTGTTTTTTTTAACAATTATAAACAGTGGTGTTCTTTTTTTTTAAAAAAAACTTTTACTAATGCGAAAATTTTTTTTTTTTAAATTGGGTTCCATGTCATTTGCCCGACAACAACTATTTTTCTAACAAAATTTTCAAAAATATTATTAGGGAATAGTTGTCGGGCAAATGACATGGAACCCTTAAATTGTGCATTTTGAAGGTGAGCTATTTTTTTTAGCTGACTTAGAATTTTGGGGATCACCGCAAACCATCAGTAATCATCACGCGACCTTGGATTTTTTATAAATAAATATATATATAAATTTAATCCTCTATTAAATTCACCACTTTTGATGAAATATTTGTTTTACAAAATTAGAGACGCGTTTTTCAAGTAAATCCTTTTTTATTTTAGACAAGATCGGTAAAGTTCATTAACCATATTAAGAATCATATAATTTGAAAATATCTATAAAGTATATTTTTGTTCAACAATATTGATAAGACTAAATTTTTCAAATTTGACACGTTATTTCAGTTTCCAAATAGTAAAATGGGCAAGTGGACACTGAAAATCAAGAAGAGTAAGGGAAGAACATCGATATCTGGTAATGTGTTACAACATAAATATAAGCAATGGCTTTATCTTATATAAATATAGAAATAAACTTATTTTGCTTATTTTGGAAATTTGGACGTCTATCTTTATGCCCACGTTACTGAATTCTTTGTACAATTTGTTACATATAAATAAATACTCCTAATCCTGATTCATCTTTTTTTGCGCTTACGTTTCTTGATATTATAGACCGAAAAGAGATGACCAATTACTTGGAAAAGTTTTTAATGCGAGATATATCAAAATTATATCAAAATGCTGATGATTATAATGTATTAATTTACGTTGGAGAAGAACATAATGTTTCAATCTTTAAAGCTCATTCAGTGATTTTAAGAGCTAGATCAAGCTATTTTCATGCCGCCTTGTCATCAAAATGGGCTAAAAAGGATGATCGCGGTGAATGCTATATTTTGAAAAAACCGAATATTTCTCCAGATGTGTTTCAAATTCTTCTGAGGTTGGTTTCGAGGTTTGTCAGAATTTTTTTTTTTTTTACATTATTATCGATAATAAAAATGGATTTCTATTTATAATAAACAAATAGTTATATATATACTGGAAGTATTCTATTGGAAGATGACACTATTAAATCCAATTATCTAAACCTAATGATAGCGGCTGATGAATTGGCCCTCAGTGAACTTATTGATCACATTCAAGACTATATTGTACTTCATGAAGTTAATTGGATACGGGATAATCTTGTTCAAATAATCCAAATTTCTTCAAAGCATGAAGCATGTCATAAACTTCAATTAATTTGTCAAGAAATTCTTGACAGTGATCCTTCTGCAATTTTTCAAGCTCGAGATTTTGTAATGTTGGAGGAACAAGCTTTGATAGATTTATTAAAAAGAGATGACTTGGAAGTAAAAGAAATTACGATTTGGGAACATGTAGTTCGATGGGGATTAGCTCAAAAGCCTTTAGGAAGTGAAGAATTATCCGAATGGACGGAAGAAGACTTTACGGTTTTACAACATACATTGAAAAATTGTATCCCACATATTAGGTTTTTTCATATTTCTGGTTCTGATTACTGGGATAAAATTACTCCTTATAAAAAGCTTCTTTCAAAACAATTGAAACATGAACTTAAAACCTATTACATAACTGGACGTCCTCCAACGAAATCCTTGAATCTACCGCAAAGGATGGGTGCTATAACGAATAATAAATCTGTCTTAATTGGTTGGAAACATTTTTGTCAGATAGCATCCTGGATTGACGAAAAGACCACAAAATATAAACCACATGAAATCCCTTACACATTTGATCTTTTGTTACGTGGTAGCCGAGATGGATTAAATGATTTAACGGTATTTCATCAAAAGTGTGATAATGTTGGATCAACCATAGTTGTAATTCAAGTAGATGATTCAAGTGGAAAGATAATCGGTGGTTATAACCCAATTAATTGGAAATCGGAAAGTGGATGGGGTGAAACTAATTCAAGTTTCATATTTTCAATGGAAAATGGTAAAACTTTGGAAAATTGTATGATTAGTAAAGTTACCAGTCCTGAAAGAGCGATTTGGAATGCACCAAGGAATCCTTGCTTTAGCCATGATTTACAATGGTTTAAAGGAAAACTTAAGCAAAGTAGTTATGAAAAAAAGATTTACGATAGTGAAGAATTTGTTATGGTTGATATTGAAATTTATCGTGTTGTCAAAAAAAATGAGAATGATAATAATATGGAAATTGATAAAGTAAATAATGGTATGTGAACTTTATTTATTATTGTACTCTTATAATTGTTGTAAAGTACTCTGTAGTATAGATTTATCATGTAAATGTACGGTTTATCGAATATGTTTACTGAATAGGATTACAGTTATACTATTCATATTTTATATGATCGATTAGAAAGATAGGTGTTTGTAAACATTATAAAAATAAAAAGATCAACTAATCAATTTCCACAATATTTATAAATAAAAATAAAGCTTGCCTTGTTTGAGTCCAATTTCGAACATCTATCACGTCAGTACTATATGACCGAATTATTAATCACAATTATATCATAGATTTTACATTTAATGATAGTAATAATCTTTGCCGTACATCGTTTTCATAATAAATGATCTTGATAATTGGATTCTTCCAACTCACAATCGGTGTATTTAGCAATAAATCCGAATCTGAATTCTTGCATTTTTAACGATGACAAATTATTCATTCTCGATGAGTTAGCGGATCTTTTGGATATCGTTAAATGAAAAAATTCATGAAGTTAATTTCTCAAGTTTGAGAAAGGATTCTTATATGGGCTAATTTATTTGAAAGAACCTATATACGGTAAAAAAAAAAAAAAAAAAAAAATTCTACGTATTTCGGAATGTATTATCCAAATAAGTCGGTACGCACTCTAATTCTTTTTGATTAGATTTGTAACCC